ACGCTTAAGACACGTTATCTGTAACTCCCGTTTTTATCAGAAATCATGATAACAACTGACATCATGGAGTTATTGAAACAGTCAATATCCGGAGACATTACACGACAAGAAAATTCTACTTGGCAGAGTGCACGAATGCCTGCCTTTTTTCGCATTAACTGTTCGAAAAGTGTGCAGGTTGCGTCAGATACCTACCAAAATTTGTCATGGATTATGTTGTTGCGAATATTACATTATATTTTTATATGTGGTTTTCGATGTTTAACTGCTTCGATCTCTGCTCTTTGTGGCTGACTTTTAGAAGGCTCGGTTTGTGCGATTTCTGGGCATGCCAACCTCTGTTTGAAGTTCGGAGATTGACTTTAAGCTTTTGTGACTTTCAGATGCTTGCTGACTGGAGCTTCAAAGTTAAAATAGGCCTTTTAAGGGTAAAATACAGGAGATACTTTAAAAACAATGTGTATTTCGCTTCCTTTCTGTTTTACTCCATCGCTATAGAACTATGGATTTTAAAACAACCTTGCTCAAGGAAAACCTCCTCTTCGGCCATTGCCTGAAAATTAAAAGAGGTACTCACATTTTAGTTTGCCAAATATTTTTACGACTTTTGCTTGACTGTTTAAAACGCACGAAATGCAATATTCCACGTCAGCTATGCCACAGATCTGGCCGATGTCCAGTTTGCTTCTTTGCAAAAAGCCGGTTTCCGCTGTCATAAAAGCATTATGCAAACTGACCAACAGGCAGGTGGAATAATGAACAACCAGATAAAATGCCAAAATGGCTGAAGTTTCTTCAACCACCTTGAAGAATTAGGTAATTCTTACACGGAAATGGCACTCTAGCACTAAAAGCCAACGTAGTTGTCCCCCTAGGCGTTTCCTCGCTTTCTACCCCCTGCAACTTAAATAAACGATTTGTATGGAAGATCAGTACTCCAAGGATGTGCCACTCAATATCGGATATTGGGTGATAAGCGCTTTGGAAGGGGGTCTAGATATGAAATTAGGCAACTATGGCAAGGGGTGAATGGTGCAAAACCACTTTTTTACGAAATTCGGGCACATGCCGCGTCTGCAATGTTTTTTTTCGCAATGTCGAGAGCCTTGCAGAGTCGGAACTTAGCAAATAGGAATTATCCACGGCGGAACTCCGAAAACTGGTTTCTGCTTGTCCATGTTAGTTTCTGGAGGAAGTTATGCTGTCATTGCAGAGCCAATTAAGTTCTTCAGGAACCATCTTTAATTCTACAATACAAGATACAATTTCCAAATGATTAAGCTAGTTCGGAGCAGCCTCTTCACTTTAACTACACAGATAGTCGACAAAAGTTCGCATTCCTTCACAGCGACTGTCCGTTTTCTGTATTTCTTTATTCGGTTGAAATTAAGGGGCGAATTTGTACTCCGAAAATTCAGTATTATTACCTGTACCCGCAAGACGTAGAGAATAGTTGACAGGTACTGTCTACGGAATATATCCTAGAAATATTTTCTGCTTCTCCGCGTAATTGCCTTCTCTGTCATTGCAGAAGAATTTAGATGAGTCAGGAATAAACTCAAGTCTTCCAACCCCCACCTGTGTTTTCTGATTTGCTGTATATTTTAGAAATAAAGAGGATAAATTTAGCACACTAAAGCCAGCACTTGGCACGCAAATACAAACCAACATCGTAGGAAATCACGCCGATCCCTGCCAGCTGCCTGATTGTAAGGTAAGTTGGGACGCCGCGCATTAGTTGAATGTTGTAGCTTTAAGCCAGCCCGCAACCGTCAGCAGCTCGATTTATGCACAATAGCCACGAAGACTGAAGACGCTCTCAATTCATATCTGCACTGCTTCTTAGAGGCTGGTTACTTTTAACATAGAACACAGCGCTTCTCATAGATTTGCCGGAGGCAAGACACTCTGGC